CCATTGAGATGCACTACCACAGCATCTCATCTTTGTCACAATTATTTCATGTTCTTAACTGTCTATATTTGAAAAATTATGTCTTAGGAGCCAATTAGGCTCAGTGCAGCCAATTACTCAAAGAACAAATCAAATCTCGATGGATGAGCAAGCTATAGAAAGCTCAAGACTAGTGCTAACTCAGGAATTCACACAGGAAACCAAATAGAATTAGATGGCAATGTATGAAAAAAAATATATTTGTCCCTGCTAACCAGCGGCTCGCTACTTATGGGAGCACTAGGAAGGAGGGAAGAGTTATATAGCGTTGGATGAGTCTAGGAATTTCGTGAGAGCATGTAGCACGAGGATAATTATAGGTTCGACTGACTTCTGATAGTTTGCATAAGGTTTGATGGTCATCATTCATGAACACCAAATGTCATGTATTAGACCAGCATCAAATTTGGTTTTCTAGTCTTCTTTTCTTTCTCATTTTAGAGAGTTCACCTTGTGTTGCTGCATTTCCTACATCATTAAGGACATCTAAAACAGACCAAGTCACATCTTATCATATTAAGAACATCAAAAACAGAACTGGGTCAAGGTCATTGTCTCATACACATTATTTCACGTATTTACATGAAGCTATTTGCATTTGATAGGTCTGTTTCTCTCGCAATCCTAGATCACTGGGTCTTCCTGGTAGATAATCCTCATTTTAAAGCTTAGCTGGGTAAGCCCTGAATAAATGGATAAACAGATGGGAACTTGTCCTGTTCTGTAATAATTGCATGTAAAATCAAATTTCTAAAATTTTTGGCTGGATAAGTTGGTGACTTCTTTATGATTGGATATCTAATGTAAGAGAAACTTTGGTCTTGCTCCAACGTGTTCTCATGTTAAGCTCTTTTGTATGTAGGAACAACAACAAAAGCAGCTTGAGTTGATCCTTGCAATTGGAAAGGCCGGGAGATTATTAGATAGCAAGAAAGATTTCGTGCTTGAACAAGATAGAGCTGGAACTAATAGCTCAGTTCCTGAAAGGAAAGAAGCAAAAGAGCTAGAGTTGGAATCAGAAAAACATGTTGGGGACACACAAATGAGGGCCTAAGTACCAGTCACTGAGATTTTCTTATGTCAAGGCTTCAGGTAGACAGTTTTTTTAACATGACATTGGAAAAGTTAAAAATGATTTCTTGCAAAGATTTGAACCAATACTTGGTCAAATATCAACAGAAGTATCTTGATCTCTATCACATTTATGCAAATTCCAGTGTTCAAATCCGAGGCGTAAAGTTACAGGGTTTTCATTTTGCTTGAGATCAGCAATTATGCATATGTTACGGTTGTGAAATTTGTGAATCCTCTTTTTCTGAGGCGGGACGTCCCAAGTTAGATTGTACAGAATTAAACCTGCTTGAACAAGTGACTCAAAAGAAAATTGCAATGTGTTCTTTTTTTGTATTAATGTAGTGAAAATATTACGTCGATTGTTTCAAGGCACAAAAGTATCATTCAGCCTTAGGTTTGGCACAGACATAAAATGACGCAAGTTATGTGACATTCTGCATTCCATCTTTTCCTACTTGTGATATTTGCCAAGACATTACATCATTCTTTCATGTGCTCCTTCAATAGCTTCATATAAATTTACTATTTCGGTAAGATATGACATGGTAAGGATATTTTTAAATGATGTCTGAATCTTTCTGAAGAAAATATTCTGATTCTTTCGAGTCTTAATCCATTATCTGTGTTAGCTTATAAAGCATAACATTTAGGCCTTGCTTGCACTACATTTGTTATGTTTCTTGAAAAAATATGCATAACAATAGAAAACACTCTTCTTTCCATCCTGATTATTTAAACAGCTGTTCTTGATGTCACTTGTGTCAATAACATGCTGATACAAGTTTTCATGGCCTTTGATTATGTCATTCTGCCCAAATTCAATGATTTTAATTATCTATTATGGTTCACAATTATTCCTATTCTTATAGAAGATTGATGAAGATTAAGTTAATATGGTTCCATCGCGGGGTGGGAGACCGGCAAGCAGCTGCATACATGAGATGAAAACAATGGCGGTGTCGGAATTGAAGGAGAGTTTTAAGAGGTCGGCACGACAGCGCCACTGAAAGCAGTAGGAACAGTAAATGAATCAAAGAATCACATTATTCCAAGTACACGAAGTCATCAGCCTCCTAAACCAGCGTGGAGCAGGTGGACGTCGACGGATCAAACAGCGCCGGCACCAGGTACTTTCTCCCGCAGACGCCGTTCGCGTTGTAGCTGGCCCCGGTGGTGACGTCCACGAGCAGGTCGCCGGCGTAGCCCGGGTAGGCTCCCTTCCCGTACACCCCCGGGCACGCCGTCGCCGCCTCCAGTGGCGCCTCCCTCGCCCCCTGAAAGAATCCGTCGCCGAACGGGTTGGTGACGGTGCCGGCCACCAGGGTCGCCAGGTTGATCACCATGCCGTCGACTCCGACGTCGCCGTTGGGCGCCACCAGCGGCGGCGTCTGTGGCCCGTACATGGGCTGGTGGAAGGGCCACGCGCACCGGCCCGGGCACTGCTCCGCCGAGTTGCCCACCCAGATGTAGGCGGACCCGGTGTTCCGGTCGGAACCGTGCAGGCCGCAGTGGCTCATGCAGAAGCCCTCGACCGCCACGTCCTGGGCGGTGAACACGAGCGCGATTCCACCCTTCTTCGGACCGGCCCTGGCGGCCAACTCCGGGATCTGGGACGTCTTGAGGGACTTCCCGAGGGAGCACTCCTCGTCCGAGACTTGTTCGGCCAACACAATGTTGGTCGTCTTCGTCTTCTTTCCGGCTTTGGCCAGGTAAACTTTGTCGATGGTCTCCCACCACTGTGGGACGGAAGGAGTCAGTGGCTGCGGTCGAGTTTGGGAGCTCGGTGTGAGGGAGAGGAGGAAGTCGGACATGATGGCCTTCTGGGTTGGGGTGAATGCCCCGTACCACATGATGGAGATGGCGATGTCGCCTTGGAGCACTGCACCATTGTGGTACGTGAGGAGTTCCGATGGCTGTTCAACCAAGCTCGACAGTACTCTCGAGCCCATGTTGACTTGTGCCAGGCTCACCAGAACCAGTAGCAGAACGGTGGTTTTAGAGACTAGGAAAGAAGCCATTCCGAAGAAGATGAGAGTACTTCTTGGTGATGAGTGGAGGTCACAAGAGAAGGACCATATTTATATAGGCTAAACAGACCAGCTCCACGCTCACAAGGAAGCTTCATCTCAGCTTCCTGCAATATTTTTTGAATGGGACACCTGGGAGACATGCATATAACTCTCCTGTTGCTATCCACAGAGCCTGCTTGCAAGCAGTAAACAGGTTTTTAAAAGCTGAGGAATCTTATAAAGGGAATTGAAAGGGGGAGGCCGGTCACGTAGATTGCGCCGCCGATTTATGGTGGGTGGCTAAGATTTGCATGTGATGGCGGAAGGTTCCCATCAGGTACGAGTGAGATAGATGAATGAACCAAGCCATAGCTTCCTCTCTTCAAAAGGCTCGGTGGTCCAACATGATGCTTGTTCTCTTGGGGACGATGAATGGATAACGATGACACGCAATAATAGTATATAAAGATGGCCATACTTGGCATAGGTACCTAGGACTAAGATAGGGGGTAGCTACATATATAGAGGGTGGATTAAATAAGAAAGCTGTCAGCCCACACTAGTTGATGCCATGGCCATTAACTATGATGTGCACCAATAATTGTAGCCTCACTAAAGAACATTGTGCGTTGTTAATACACCATGTTTACAGCCTCCACTAGACACGCTGCCCCGCCATTGATATTCCCATGCATTATTCAACGTGACAGCTTTACTCAACCGAGCTAAGTAACATTTTAATCCCTTGTTGCAGCTGTCCGAGAAGATGCTGCAGTCGTCCGGAAGCGACGCGTGCAAAGAAATAAAAGGTCAGCACTCGACAAATGTCTGCTTTTGTCTGCTAGGAGGAGCCCAGGCGACACTTCGAAACCTCTCTCTCTCTCTCTCTCTCTCTCGTTCTTTGGTTTTCTGTAATGGGGGACGAGAGGAGGGGGAAGGGAAGAGCTGGCGACAGGTGTCACGTGCGGCCGTGCAGCTGTCACTAGATTCCCATCACGAGATCGCCATGACAGGGACTGGACACACCATTCCAGTCCGTGCAACGAAGAGATAAGGCTCTCCCTGCCTCTGTGCTGCTCTCCCCCTTTCCTTCTTTCGTTTGGTTTCGAACTCTCTCGTTCTCTCCTTCGAGCTTTGTGCTCGCCATTCTTCCTCTCTATTTCTCGTGGACCGGAGGCACACCGTTTCTCCAAATTGCCGAGTGACGGAAATGCCCTCCAAGGCGAGCTCACTCGGCGCGCACTTTATGTGGTATGTACGTCAAAATGGATGACACACGTAGTCCAGCTAAACCCCGACGCATGGTCCGAGTCAAGCCCCTGGTTGCGCCTCCTTAACGCTTGACTCCCAGTCTTCGCGTCACCTTCCCACAACTGCTCATTTTTTATGCTACCATTCAGGAACCGTGACTCTGCCTACTTGGTATAAGAACCCCATCATTGGGTTCGTAGTACACACCCATCACTCACACCTTTCCTTCTCTTCTAGTTTCTTCTGTAAACACTGAGAGCTGCAATGGCTTCTTTTTCCCTCGGAACTCATGGTTTTGTTCTTCTTACACTTCTCTTCGCTGCGTCTCTGTTCCAGCGCTCCTTTGGTGGCAGAACTCTCAGTGCCTTGGTGGAGGAACAGCCACTCGCCATGACCTACCACAAGGGTGCTCTACTCACTGGCAATGTCTCCGTTAACCTCGTCTTTTACGGCAAATTCACAGCTTACCAAAGAGCCATCATCTCCGACTTCGTCGCCTCCCTCTCCCCCCTCCCCCGCCGGAAGCAGTACGTCGAGCCGTCGGTGGCCACCTGGTGGAAGACCCTCGCCAAGTACTACGCCACGTCGAGGACGCCGTTGCCTAGGCTTCGCCTCGGCAAGCAGGTCCTCGACGAGACGTACTCCCTCGGCAGGTCCCTCCGCGACTCCGACCTTGCGAAGCTGGCCGCCAGGGGGGCGCCGCGAGACGCCATCAACGTGGTGCTCACCGCGGAGGACGTGGCGGTTGGGAGGTTCTGTATGAGCCGGTGCGGCTCCCACGGGGCGTCGCCCCAGTCCAGGGCCAGCGGCCGGTTCGCCTACATCTGGGTGGGCAACTCGGCGACGCAGTGCCCCGGCCAGTGCGCCTGGCCCTTCCACCAGCCCTTGTACGGGCCGCAGACGCCACCGCTGGTGGCGCCCAACGGCGACGTCGGGGTCGACGGCATGGTGATCAACCTGGCGAGCATGCTGGCCGGCGCCGCCACCAACCCGTTCGGGGACGGCTTCTTCCAGGGACCGAGGGAGGCGGCGCTGGAGGCGGCGACGGCGTGCCCCGGCGTGTACGCGAAGGGGGCCTATCCGGGCTACGCTGGGGACCTTCTGATGGACCCCGCGACGGGGGCCAGTTACAACGCCCATGGGGTCCACGGGAGGAAGTTTCTGGTCCCAGCGCTGTTTGACCCGTCAACGTCCACCTGCTCTACGCTGGTTTAACTATGGGACGATGATAACCACATCCATCTGCATAAATAACTACGTATCTATGTATATAACGCGAATGAAGTTTTGTGACATAACACTTGTGTTGTTGTAATTATAATTATATATATATATATATTCATACCTTGTTCTATTTACTTAGGACTTCCAATATAGGATTTTGGGTGGTGACTCAATTGGACAGACAAGGACTTTGTCACAGATTTCTTCAACATCTTCGATTTAATATCAACAAAATCGTGATTAAGTTGCTTTAACATTAGATTTATTATCTATAACTTGAAAAAGTTAATCCTTTAATAAAGTAGAAAACTCCTGTTTTGACCCTTAATAAATATGGCATGATGCAATGCATCCTGCCATCATGGAAAATATATATTTTCGCTATCGTTCTTCCTCCTCTCATTTAATTTATTTATGTGTGTTTAAGGATTTTACAACATTTAGAATGGTCCAACCTCTATTATTACAATGTATTATTTGTGGATGGAGGATATGTAAAATGGTCGAACTGCTGATCTAAATGGTTGATGTCTGAGTGTCTAATTTCCAACGTCAATGCGACATGAATCATCATCTTACACTGAAAAATTATAAATAACTAAAGATTTCATTGAACAAATGAAAGAATTATTACAAACTATAAAGCTAAGTCACTAAGTTTCCTCCTTTCTTCATCATAATCTCGTGGTTGTATGGCGAATGCGTCGAGATTAATGTTCCAGCACCAACACTTCCCATTCTCCGAGCCCACCCACAACTACACCAAGGTGGTGCAGGATGAGGTAGACGGGTCAAAGAGGGCGGGGAGAAGGTACTTCCTGCCGCGTGCCCCGTGAGCGTTGTAGCTAGCCCCCGTCACGGGGTCCACTAGCAGGTACCCCGCGTAGCCTGGATAGGCCCCCTTCCCGTAGACCCCCGGGCACGCCGTCGCCGCCTCAAGCGGCGCTTCCTTCGGCCCCTGGAAGTACCCGTTGCCGAACGGGTTGGTCGCCGTGCCGGCCAGCAGCCCTGCCAGGTTGATGATCATTCCGTCGACACCCACGTCTCCGTTGGGAGCCACCAGCGGCGGCGCCTGAGGCCCGTACATCGGCTGGTGGAAGGGCCAGGCGCACTGGCCGGGGCATTGCGTCGCCGAGTTGCCCACCCAGACGTAGGCGGACCGGCCGGCGCGGGACCGTCGGGACGCCCCGTGGGTGCCGCACCGGCTCATGCAGAATCCCTCCACAGCAACGTCCTCGGCCGTGAGAACCACGTTCACGGCGTCCCGCGGCGCCCCCCTGGCGGCCAGTTTCGCGAGGTCGGTGTCGCGGAGGGACCTGCCGAGGGAGTACTTCTCGTCGACGACCTGCTTGCCGAGGCCAAGCTTAGGGAACGATGTCCTCGACGCAGCATAATATTTGGCGAGGGTCTTCCACCAGGTGGCCACGGAGGGCTCCAGGGAGTCCTTCTGGTGGGGGAGGGGCGAGAGAGAAGTGACGAAATCGGAGATGATGGCTCTTTGGGAGGCGGTGAACTTGCCATAAAAGATGAGATTGACGGAGACGTTGCCAGCGAGCAGAGCTCCCTTGTGGTAGGTCATGGCGAGGGGCTGTTCCTCCACCAAAGCACTGAGAGTTCTGCCGCCGTAGGAACCTCGAAACACAACCGAGGCTAGTAATGCGAACACTAGTGCGGTAGTAGCAGTAGCGACAGCCATCGATGGAGAAGGTGAAGGTCAAGAAGCTTCAGTTGGTGCACTGCTTTCCTCTTTGAGAAGGAGAGAGAGAGGCGACTGTGTGAGTTGAGAGAGCAGCGAGAGGGGTGGCTTATATAGAGAGAAGCGACAGGAAGTAAGAGACAAGATCTGTGGGCCCACATCGGATGCCTTGGGACCAATGACGAGGGTGGTGATCGGGGCGTGCACGGGAACAGTCTCTTCAGAGACAGCTGGCCTAGATGCATTGTTCCCAGCTGTAACGTTGCAACGCAGAGCATAAGTAAATGCCCGAGATACCCTCACCATAACGTTTGAAATCGGAAGCTAAAGGCCAGCGGAGGGGAAGGGTAGGGAAGGGAAAGCGTGTCCCGTCTCTCGAGGCGTGTAAAGGCAGGAGGGAAATAAAGGGATAGGTGGGGATCGTGAGTGGAGTTGGAAGGCGAGGACAGGCTGGTGTTGCTCGCATTGGTCTTGGGCGATGAGCGCGTTGGGGTTGGAAGAAGAGGCAGCGGGCGCGAGCCAGCTGTTGCCTGCGAGGCGGGCACGAGCCTCGGCGCCGCTTCTCGCCGAACATTGGTTAAGCTACAGCAAACATCTGCTAATGGGCCACGGACTGTTCTTTCCCCACTGGAAAACACGATGCCCAAGCAATTGAATCGTCGATTACCACTGCTGTCGTCCACAGATCGTTTGTTTGTTTGCGATGGTTGAGCAGATGATATGAGGTTGGCTCCGAGGAGCTGAGTGGCTTTCCGTGAGGCAACAGCGTGTCACAGGCCATCGCCACAGGGCAATGCATCTCGGACCCTCGACGATTAGGTGCACGAATGGTAGGCGATGACTTCAAGGAAGATGAGTAATATCGCGCAGATGCGTCTCTTTACAGTGTCGGATTTGCATTAACTTAGCTATATAGCTATGATCCCAAAAACAACTCCCGGTGGCTACTAATCGAGCTTGTCTGCTACTCCCACCATTAAACGTCACTTGTTTATGGCCACAGAGGCCGACAAGATCTCATCAGAAACGCTGAAAGATTAGCTGAGCTGAGTTGTCCGTATGTGATAATCGAGTGACAAGTGAGGTACCAAAGATGCCTCCCTCGAAGACCTATTGGCCTTTGTTAGGCTGCGCCGTGTCTCGTGTGTCTTCGAGAGCCTATTGGTTGTTGTCTCGGTAGGGAGCATGGGGACAATGCAAGCATCTTGATCCTTAAGAATTGGCTGTAATGGTGGTCTTGTTAGTAGTAGGCATTGACCTGAACATTAAAACACGTATAATTGTTGTGGTCGAGAGATGTACGTGTGCAATTTTGATATCATCCACGGTCACTAAATCCTTTTTTCTGTAGCAATTCAACGAGATCGTCGAACACAGAGATCTGGTTATCCTGTTGCTATCAGTCTGTGTATCGGCTTGAGCTTGTTCGAGTGGGACTTCTCTGTGTTAGATCTTTAGCGAGAACAGAGTTCATTTTTGTGTGATGTTTAGATCATAGCAAGAACCGAGATCAAACTTTAGAGCACATTCTATCTATTACTGATGAATGATTCGGACGTCATCTTAAACTTCTAAGGCAGAGTGACTGTTTTATCGTGTTAGCTGAGGTTATATCGTAGGCCAGTTAAATTGGATATGAGCCTAAAATAAATTTACATTAAAATCTAGATAATTTAGAAGGTACATATTAACACTTGAAATTTTATAAGTGATATGGATATAACCATACTGAAAGACTATGGAAGACTATCGATATCTCATTATCGTATTATTGACACATTGTCATCATGTGATTGATATCTTAACATCGGATCAATGATATGATGATCGATTCTCAAATTGATTCATAAGATTCGACTCATTAATCGTTACTCCATGTTATTTGGGATCAGTGCTACATAATTATACTTACTATCGGAGGAGGAAGCACATAATTATTTTGAACATTTAAATACAATCTTGAATATAATAATCATAGATTATATTATAAAAATATCACTCACTCAGACTAAAATTCTCTTAATATATTTGTCAAACCCAAACTACCTTGAACATTAGAAAAGTTTTATCAGATTATTGACACATTATCATCATGTAATTGATATCTTAACATTAGGTGAATGATATGATGATCGATTCTCAAATTGATTCATAAGATTTGACTCATTAATTGTTACTCCATGTTGCTTGAGATTAGTATTACATGATTATACTTAATATTAGAGGAAGCACATAATTATTTTGAATATCTAAATACAATCTTGAATATAATAGTCATATATTATATTACAAAAAAAATCACTCACTCCAACTGAAATTCTCTTAATGTATTTGTCAAACCCAAACTACCTTAAACATTCAAAAAGTTTTATCGGATATGCACATGATTTAGTCTTGTAGGGTTCGACCCGAACATCATTTCGCTTGATACTATTTCTTTATTAGATAGACATGAAGTAGGAGCTCGATTGGCTTCCAATCAACATTCTTATTAAACAATCTAAATTTAAACTATCAACAATAGATTTTATCCATCATCTTTTCTTTTTTAATAATATCTTCTAAGTTTCATATAATATAAGTTGGTACATTGTTTTTTTTATCCCATGAAACGGATGATCTCTACGATCTGATGAAGGCGCTTTACATTTGGTTTAAGTTTTCCACCAGTCCTATATTCGATGATGGAATCTGATAAGGTGAGTCCTATTTTTGATGATGGAATAATAATATGCAACGCCAGCCCAATGTCAGTTTGTGTGTGTGTGTCTCTAACTCTTCCTTATGGTAGTATCTTTATTTCAACATGATAACTTCTCCATACGGGTCGAGTCGCATCATAACACCTTGATTTAATCGACTTGATGCTTTCGTAGCCTTTGTGGTCCTCATCATAAAAGTGATAATAAAACCATGTCAGTTTGGGCTCTCGATATCAGAAGATGCTAATAGTCATTTTTTGGGGTACGACTTTACTATGCTCAAGCATGGATATTCCGTAGAGACATCTCCTGAGATTACATGCATGCATGATCCATCGGAATCCTTCCTGACTTTACATTATGATTCGTCTAACATACATACTCCGTATAAGAATGTCACACACACCACTGGTTCTAATAAGATAGAGGCTCAATCTTTTTCATACCCACTTCAAAACTCACGAACGAACCCATCGTTGATCCAACCACCAAAGTGGAATCGCCGGAAGGTCGTTTGATGCCCTTCCTTACCTCTCTTTTGTCGCAAATCTCTCTTTTCCTCGTACTTGTAGGCTGGCCAAGCTCACACTCCCAAGCATGCCTTCTGACTTGAGTGATCCCTGCATTCCAAGAATCTCTAGAGCTAAAGAGGCCGAACAGTCCACTTATGGGCCATGCATTCCAAGAATCTCTCTCTCTCTCTCTCTCTCTCTCTGGGGTATCATGATGCCGATTCATCAACTACTCCTGTCTTCGGATGATTCCAAATCAAAGAGCTTCACAGTAGGAAGCCGATACTGGCTACACTATGGAATCTTGGGCAACGGGTCCATTTGGCTTAATTTTCTGTGACTGCGTTTTATGCGATTATTTGCATCCTTTTGCACCAAAAATTCACATAAAGAATTTGTTGTGATTAATATTAAGAAGTTAAAATACATTTTGGAAGATCATAAATTAATATTTTAGTTTTAAAATAAGACTAAATAAAGTTTTACGAATAAAATTTTTTTAGTTAAAAATATATTTTAGAATAATTCAAATAAGATTAGATAGAGTCATAGATATTAAAGATTTTTATATTTTATATTATAAATAGATGACATCTATACGTGTAGATCAATTGAACCTCAAGTATTCAAGTCAAG